TTTCCTTATCATAAACTCATGTTTGTAAATTTGTGCAGTTTAACTATACTGCTGTGCCGTGTGTTTTTTCGTATAAAATATTCACTTTCTGAGAAATTGCTTACGGGGCTGAGGCTGACACAATGAACAAACACGAGAGTTGTTTGATTACTTACATTAATAAAAATTCCCTCTCGTAAAAGTTTGCTCTCGGATTGCACCACGTCGTGCAATAACGCTTATGCAAACACACAGGTAGTTTAACACATGCGATGAAATTTTTGAAATTGTTATATATTTTTGCATTTTACTAAGTTGAACATCCGCTATACGTTTTAGGAGAATATAGTGGTTCCAATATTTTGTGGAATAATTTAGAAAACATTTACAGTCCTTTTACAGTTCTATTTTACAAAGTGTTCCACATTCAATGACACATGCTAAAAACGATTTGCGTTTATTGGAACAGAATTATTTAAAAAAATATTTTTGAAAACATTCGTTTCTAAGCAACCCATCAATAGTCATTTATTGTCACTTCAAGTGGATCGCAAAATTTGTGAAAGTTGAAGATTCTAAAATAACAATTTTTGACTTTTGTGCTATCGTGATCGTTTTATTTTATCTTCTGCTTGATTAAAGAAGCATTTATATTTTATATCTATATTATGCATTGTTAATTTTTAAGGTTTATATAGTTTATTAAATTTTTACAAATTCTGATAATATTCGTGTGACTTAAATATTGGCATATTATATATATTTGGAAATATTTTGTTTATAGATTTTCAATATAGTCCAAATAGAGTTGTTGTACACTTCACTCCCGATTATTTTTTATATTCAATTTAGGATACTTTATCATGTATATACAGAAATGATATAATTTCAAAACCTTACTTGATGCATCAATATTGCAGATGGTTAAGCTTCGTCGATAGTAGGGCTTGGCTTTTCGATTCGAATAGTAAATCATTCGAATCGATTCAGACGGATATTTCGAATCGCCTCCGTCTTGTTTTTACTTGGCCGCACAAAGGTCGAGGTGAATTTTTCAGTTTTTTTTTTATTGGAACCATATTTTTACAACGTAATTTTGACATATATATGACTCTTTTCTTCCTTGTGAGGTATTGATGAAACATGTTTCTTGCTGTGTGGGAACGCTCAGCAAACTGTCTGAGTGATGGATTTTATTTTTTGCAGTAATTTATATGCTTGGAGGACCCATCATAAAAGAGTCACATAGATTTAAATATCTTCCAAATATTCCGAGATTCGTTTCGAAAAAAAAAATATTTGATTTTAAAATTAACAGGTATTCGAAAATGTCCAGCGCTAACCAATAATTTATGCAGAGAGAACGAAAATTGCGAGAAAACGGCTTTACATGGGAAGAACTATGCGAGAATGTAGTTTTGATATAACAAATTGGCGCTCCCGTAGAATGTGCACCAAGATGGCGCACAACCTGAACGCTAACCTGGTACTATGTTCATACTACTCATACTATGTTCAGGTTTCGCGCCATCTTGGTGCACATACTATGGGAGCACCACAAAGTTTTGCTAAAACAAGATACTACCGTCGAGAAGAAGTTGGTTCGCAAACGTAATTTTATTGCAGTTTATTATTGGTGCGCAATTTGTATCTTTCGTGTCTTGTGGTGAAATTCAAAATTCATGAACAAGTTCTCTATGTCAGGTTTACGGTATTGGAAAACACAATCAAAAACTGTTGCCGGATTAGCTACTGTGTCGTTTGTAATTGGGGCACTCTTACTGATTCCACATGGTTGGTATGCGGTTAAAATCACTCGCAAGAGAGAATATGAAAGCCGCCAGAAATGGAGACTTGTTATCGTTAAAAACTTGGAAACTGTTTTCGAGTCTATACCTCAGCTCTGTATAAATTTATATGTGCTATCCATCTGTGGTAATGAAATCGAGTGGGTCCAAATTGCTTCAGGCGTAATATCCTACATATCTCTCTGCATTGGCATTATTCTGATGGACGAAGTATTTGCGGAGCAAAAAATAGAAACTTTCACACTGTGTGACTATATAATAATCACTGTTGGGAAATGTGGAGCATCTTTAGCAGCGAGGCTGCTTATTTTGGTTTATTTTGCTTTCTATTTTGAATGGTATACAGCGATCTATTTAGTTTCTCATTGGATTTTAATTACAATCATAATTTGTTTTGCTTTTGTATGCAAGATGGAATTACATTGTTGTGATGCTACGTTGCACGGTTTCTTCTACGCAATTCTCTATCTCTTTATTTGGTTTGCTGGGCACGATAAAAAATGGAATCTGATATTGTCCATAATTTATTCTGTAGAAAATTGTGTAGTTACAATAGTATTATGTTTTATAGACAAGTCGACCGATACTGAATTCTGCTTATACGATCATGTTATTTGGCTGAATATCGGCCTTAACTTGTTAACTGCCCTAATTTTCTCTGTACAGTATTTAATTTATCGCATAAGAAACCGTGCCACTTATTAGGATGAAGTACCAATATTTTCCTCATCATAAACTCATGTTTGTAAATTTGTGCAGTTTAACTATACTACTGTGCCGTGTGTTTTTTCGTATAAAATATTCACTTTCTGAGCAAGGAACATTGTGACAAACCGCAACTTGGAGCTTCTTTCTCGCCCCAGAATTAAATAACGTATAATAATGAGGATATCAAATCTATAAATTAACGTTAACTTGCGGTCAAAGATTATTTGTTTTGAGCCTCTTCTCAAGTGGATTATTGCGTACGGGGCTGAGGCTGACACAATGAACAAACACGAGAGTTGTTTGATTACTGACATTAATCAAAATTCCCTCTCGTAAAAGTTTGCTCTTGGATTGCACCACGTCATGCAATAACGCTTATGCAAACACACAGGTAGTTTAACATATGCGATGAAATTTTTGGAATTATTATATATTTTTGCATTTTACTAAGTTGAACATTCGCTATACGTTTTAGGAGAATTATAGTGGTTCCAATATTTTGTGAAATAATTTAGAAAACATTTACAGTCCTTTTACAGTTCTATTTTACAAAGTGTTCCACATTCAATGACAAATGCCAAAAACGATTTGCGTTATTGGTACAGATTTATTAAAAAATATATTTTTAAAAACATCTTGTTTCTAAGCAACCCATCATTAGTCATTTATGAAAATTGAAGATTCTAAAGGAACAATTATTGACTTTTGCTATCGTGGTCGTTTTATTTTATCTTCTGCTTGAATAAACAAGCATTCATATTTTATATCTATACTATGCATTGTTAATTCATATAATTAAGGTTCATATAGTTTAATAAATTTTTACAAATTCTGATAATATTCGTGTGACTTAAATATTGGTATAATATATATATTTGGAAATATTTTGTTTATAGATTTTCAATATAGTCCAAATAGAGTTGTTGTACACTTCACTCCCGAATATTTTTTATATTCAATTTAGGATACTTTATCATGTATATACAGAAATGATATAATTTCAAAACCTTACTTGATGCATCGATATTGCAGATGGTTAAGCTTCGTCGATAGTAGGGCTTGGCTTTTCGATTCGAATAGTAAATCATTCGAATCGATTCAGACGGATATTTCGAATCGCCTCCGTCTTGTTTTTACCTGGCCGCACAAAGGTCGAGGTGAATTTTTCATTTTTTATTTATTGGAACCCTATTTTTACAACGTAATTTTGACATATATATGACTCTTTTCTTCCTTGTGGGGTATTGATGAAACATGTTTCTTGCTGTGTGGGAACGCTCAGCAAACTGTCTGAGTGATGGATTTTATTTTTTGCAGTAATTTATATGCTTGGAGGACCCATCATAAAAGAGTCACATAGATTTAAATATCTTCCAAATATTCCGAGATTCGTTTCGAAAAAAAAAATATTTGATTCTGAAATCAACAGGTATTCGAAAATGTCCAGCGCTAACCAATAATTTATGCAGAGAGAAGGTAAATTGCGAGAAAACGGCTTTACATGGGAAGAACTATGCGAGAATGTAGTTTTGATATAACAAATTGGCGCTCCCGTAGAATGTGCACCAAGATGGCGCACAACCTGAACGCTAACCTGGTACTATGTTCATACTACTCATACTATGTTCAGGTTTCGCGCCATCTTGGTGCACATACTATGGGAGCACCACAAAGTTTTGCTAAAACAAGATACTACCGTCGAGAAGAAGTTGGTTCGCAAACGTAATTTTATTGCAGTTTATTATTGGTGCGCAATTTGTATCTTTCGTGTCTTGTGGTGAAATTCAAAATTCATGAACAAGTTCTCTATGTCAGGTTTACGGTTTATGACGTCACACACAACACAAATTTGCACGATAAAAACGTCATATTTATTGATGCATGTCACTGGGTAAACTATATTAACATTATTCACTATATCCACACCACTTAATTTGAATTCACCAATCAAGTTTATAATTTTGAATTTGCTCTTTACAAAAATTGAACAACTCGCATCAATTAAGTATCGACAAGAACAAATAATACACAATACACAAACAATAATATCGGTCGGAGACCGAAGACTTCGATCGATCGAATCGAAAGTTAGGGGATCCCCCAAATCCCAAATTCTGGTCCGAGCTATGGTGAATGCACATGCAAAATTTGGAGCAGATTCAACCCCGCTTTCGTAAGATATCGCGTGCATCTAACAGACGGACAGACAAACAAACAAACAGACAAATACCTATCAACATATTTACCGATCTTAAGATCGATAAGTAACAAGTGAGCAAGCCAGATATGTAAACGAAAGTTAGAGTCAATAACAGGAGTAGACTGTGTTCCATTGATGCGTAAGGAGAAAGAATTTATTACTACAACAATTCCCTCAAACAAGTTTTCAACACAATCCAAAACGATTCGGCTCCAATAAATGAAATATCTAGCCCGGGTATAATATTTGGTATGAAATATAGGAGATGGTTGCGTTGTAAGACGTACGCAGCTGTGTCGTTTTTCCATTTTTATGGGAGGAAAACTGCAACAACTCCCCGTGAATATGACTCAGCATCAATATCTGTCAAACATAAATACTTTTTAATATCCTTTACTACCAGAGAAAAAATGCGTGCCGATTGAATCTCAGAGTAGATTTTCCCTGATCTTGCGTTGTTGTGACGCAACCATGTGAAATCCGCGGCTTTGCAGCAATGACAATGAGCTACAAGCATTACAGAAAGTGATATGCTGATTGAAAGATATTTTAAGAATTCATTAGTTAGGCAGACCACAAGGGGTATAATATCAACACGAAAATGTAATTTAGTTACAGCAGTTGTTCAATAATTGGTTGTTGCAGCAAATTGTAAGTCAATATATTACAACTTGGTTTGGTGTCTAATTACTGGGGGGTTCAGCTTGATCATTTCATGACTCGGGTACTTAACAGATAAAAGGTTGAGAACCCCCGCACTAGACTAAGTGTTTATGGAAATATGTCTATGTACATACTCACATCCCAAATTGCAACCTTCTGTGGAACAGGTTTGATTACATGTCTCTATCGTCACGTTGTTGTGAATATAACTTGAACAGCCATTTCCGATATCATGATTACTGCAGGAGCGTTTTATTCTCGAACTAATTATTCCTGAAGAAATGGATTTACAAATAATTAAGTGGTGTGTTATTAAATGCTGACGAAATACAACCTTCAGAAGTATACATAAGAAGTGTAATAAAATTCTGGGAAATATTCCAGTTTATGTTCGTATGTGATGAATTTTTTTTTTACAAATACTGTTTCTAGTATATATATAATAATAAAAAGAGGATAGTTTCAATAAAGGCACCTGCTTGGAATTTTTTAGTGGTTCGTTGTGCCGTGCAATATTTTTGATAGGGTAAACAGTCTTGTAATGTATAAGAGAATCCCGTGACGCAGTGTTCCGAACTGTAATAATCTGATTGGCACTGGTGACATTTCGGTCTAGCCGCTGTTGTAAAGAGTTGAATTAATAAATAAATATGCTATAATTGTTAGTAACCTGGCTTCGAGTCTACCAAAGACTGAAGGGTTCACAGCCATTTTTGGTGTATTCTACAACGGAAAATTATTTGTCAATCGAACACCGGGATCCCCAGTTGTGGTCCGTAGTTAACTTCAGATATTAGTAAGTAACCTTTGATCTTCAATAGGATCTTGAAAATCATTGCTGCTACTGCAAAACTTTATATTTATTGTATATTTTACAAATGCGTATAATTCATAAACTAGTGGCTTTGGATTTCAAATAGTCCAGCGACAGTGAAATGCCAGATTTAGACTTCAATTTAATATATATCAGAGATGAAAGTTAAGAAGTCATGATGGATCAGAATCGAACTATGCTTTGACTCACGCCATCCCGTATTACATCCATCTTCTTTGCATGTCTCCTGACATGTTACTTTTGTGACATTCGACGTTCCCAATTGCTTGCTGGTGCATTGAGTTGGGACGTCGGAAGTTGCGCAATCACGAATAACGCTCATCAATTGATATGACGATGACCCTGTGGGTATAATTTGCCATGAGCATCATTGTATGCGCACCTTATGATGACTATGTCAATGTTTCTGGGATTAAACAGTTTCGTGGAAGTTGGTATGGTTGTATTGAGTGTAGCTAAGTTTCAGCTAGGCCTATAACTGGACAGAATTGTTTCGAATTACATGACTTCAGATACTGTGAAATTGCATTAGGAGGGCATAGGCAGGGCACACTCTAGTCTAGAATACCTGCAAACTACGTTACCTGAACTAGATATCACATAAACTACGGTCGATATGCAATACGATGCATTTGCCTGACATATCGTATTTCCATTGCAGTCATGACCATCAAATCTTGAACATCGTTGGCATCGTAATGAGTTTGAGGTTCTTGCAGTCGTTACTGTTTGGTTGTCTGTGAATTTATCAACGTTTTAAACTATCTCAATGGTTTTAAAACTTGGTACTGAAAGTCACTATTAAATTTTGAAAGGATTCCGAATTCTGTACTGCGCATTCTGTTACCCCAAATGTAATCTCTGTTTGCATTGTATATATATATATACAGTATCCGCAAAATAAAACTCCTATTTATTGGAAAGGAATAAACGATAAAACAATACTTCCCTTACTCATATTCGCATTGCAGTTATCTTCATTGCAAATTGAGTAGCAAGTGTTTTCGAAGTATCCTGCAGTATTGATTCCTCGGTCATTATGAATTCTTGATATTTTGCATTCCGAGCGAGGTGGACTTGACGTACACGACTTGGAAAATACCGATCTTGCTATATTGCCGTCTGAGTAAGAGTATAATTTAGTGGCTGATATTCCCAATAATAAATATAGGCATTAAATACAAAGTAGGATGCCGTGCTGATGTTATTTTATAATTAATTTTTGTTGTAACCTCCCGAATAAACTCCAAAAAGAGGGCCTGCGTTGTTATTGCACCACAATTTGCTTGAAATAAATTTGGTAATAGCATATGTTTGTTTTCATAAATATGGACAGATTAACTTGTGTGCGTCTATTTTACCTAAATCAGTGGTTCTCAACTAGCGTCTCAAAAATTGTCGTGTCCCATTTGCCCCACTTGTTCCATGTGTTCCACGTGCCCCAATGAGACAAGTGGCACACGACATTTTTGAGGCACCCCGAATTCTATAGTGATATAGTATGTACATAATCAGAGAAATTTTAAAATGAATACATGTACTTACGAACATTGTACTCATCTAGGGCAGTGTTCGAGGTAATGCAAGACGGTTATACAGCTGAAATGAGGCCTGATTATTACTCAATGAGGATATTCCAAATAGAAACAGCATTTAACAATGTCGTTCGATGATCAATTGACTATTTTTTGACTCAGGCATTGTTGAACTATTTGATATCGAGTAAAAAGTTCAATTTGGATGATTCTAACATCAAAGAAGTAGAATCGAATTAAAAAAATCGCGAAAAATTTGTAAAAACTACCGAAGAAAATACGTCAGAAAAATTTGTCATGTGAAATATAATTCTGCAATTCGGAACTTTTCGTAGATGTGATCGGTTTTAACTTTTTTAAATCGCTTTTGCAGTTAGATGAGTTGAAGCTTTCATCTTTATTTCCGATATAGAAATGTTAGGACTGCATTGCTATCTGAGTTTTTATCTAGTAATACACACATCGTATCATTTCATCATACCGTGCTCAAAATTTAAGATAAGCAAATATCATGGTCTTATTGCCTCTAACGGTATGATATTGCACTGCTTCCCGATGGTTGCCTACTGTTTCAAACTACGTACAGCGCTTAAAATATATTTTACCTAGATTGTTATATTATTATTGTTGTGATCTTGAAAGATTGTGAAATTGGAATTTGATGAATTACGCCAGGGTACTTAATTATCGATATCATCCGACTGAGACAATAGAAGAATATTATTAAAAATGTTTGATCTGGACAAATCTCAAATCGGTCGATAACAAAATTTCCGATTATATTGATAGAAATGTGTATGAAAGAATATGGTTTCTATGCCACCCTTATGCACGCAAGATGCGGTATGCAGACAAGACATTTCATTCATATATATAGTGTTAACGATTAGGTTACATTTGTATTGTTTACGATGATAAAATAATATTAACTTATCAACGCCAATCAGCCAGGTCTTAAATTTATTTGAAACAAAGTAAGCAAATCAACGAAATCAAACCAACTAAGATTACTCGTACGTTCTATCGCCCATTTCGATCCACATGACGGCATTTTTAAAACTATTTCCTGTGATTGTTGGGCCAAATCCAGAATCAAAGGTGAATAAAGCGTGTAAGATTTATGATGAAACTAAACGCTGACGAAAATTCCCGCGCATGCCAAATTCCTCCGGATAAACATTTGTTTGACCTCGAAACGGAAGCACTTCAATAATAACGATATAATGGAAATAAGTGGGACAAAGGGGAAACGTGGGACACGACATTTTGACACCCGATCCCAACCACCGTGCCGCCGCACATTGGTGTTGCCCGGAGAGATATCAATTTTTGAATTTATTTCAAGTGATTCCGATTTCCAATAGACTGTTGAAAGTTAGCATATCGAATTACAGACGCGCATCTTAATTTACCGGTGAAACTTGGAAAAAAGATGAGAGTAAATTGAGTGTGCGTGCGTTCACAGGACAATCGACACCAAACCCAGGGGCGAACACTTTCGGGTCCTTTTTATTTTCTTTTTGGGGGAGAGGGGGGGGGGGGGGGTGTCGACTTTGATCGGCAACTAAAAACACAGTGCAGTGTATCGTCACGTATCTGGTATTGTTTCAATTCTTAGTTTTGCATAAAGCGCTCCAACACCGTTTTGTAAAATTAGAAATGTCAAACAAGGTGACAAATTATTTTGTAGTAAATGCTATGATCTTTGCCTTCAAAGTATGCTCATCAATAGCAAAGAAGCACGAGTCATAACAGTCCCACTAACATTAACCGTTATTATTCTATACCTGTTACTAAATACAGGAAATGTTGTATTTACAGGAATAAAATTCCCCTCATCTGATCTTCCTTATTTTTTATTATTTTATGGCAAAATAGCTCTATGAATAGAAAATGTTCATGTTTTGTGATAGGTGTGGCGCAAATATTTCAAGAGCTCAATAGTGTGCCGCGACATAAAATGGTTGAGAACCACTGACCTAAATCATAGGTAGTTGTGTGAACGGCAGAACAATAACTTTGCCCGGATGAGCAATATGAAGAGATGATGTTATCTTCACATTTCGGATCAAGCTCAGTTGTGCACTGTACACATTTTCTTCTATTTGCAACTGATGCTGTAAAAGTGTAAACAATATATAATTATATATATATATCATAAGCACAACTCAGCTAAGATATTTGGGTACTTTGCAATTCTGAATTGAATATTTTGTTCAATACTTACAATCTGTGCAATTGTTTCCTTGTATACCTTTGTTACAATCGCATTTTCCAGAGATGTAATCACAGTATCCCTGGTTTTGATTTCGTCTACAGTCACTGTTACACACTTTTAAGCTTTCTGTAGGCAAGTGATAAATACATGGTAAATTATAATAAATTGTATGGTTCTAGACGAGGTGCCAACTGGGATCTATTAGGTAATTGTTAGGGGTTGAGAGGGGTCTAACATTAAAACGAGCTGTTACAATCAACGGCGGCATTGTGGTACTCCGTGTCCATATATTTGAGCATTGCTCTTCAATTGTTTATGGTGACCATACATTTGAACCCACGTAAAATTGAACCCATGTGTATATCCGCGGGTTCAATCTATATGCGGGTGCTAAAACCCATGGGTTAGGGTTAGTATGGGTTCAAATATCCGTGAAACAAAATAATTTTCATAGGTGCAATAGTATGCAGGTGCAATTGTCGTGGGTTCAAATGTACGTGAGTTCAAATGTAATGGAACCGTTGCTTATATTTGAGTCGGGGATCATTTTCGACTTTAATAACTTTTTTTTTAAAAATCACACATCTACTAACCGATTGAAGCGTTGTTGCATCCGCTAGTATTACAGTGGAAATAGCAGTTCATCATTGTAGTAGGGTCCCAATTATTGATGTCTGATGCACACTTGTCACCTGATGGTATCTCCGTAGTAGTCGTGTCTTCGTCTGATAAGGTTGATACACAACCACGATATACATAGTTTGGTATCCCTGTTCAAAATAACGATAAAATATAAATATGTGCTATACGTTTTTTTTTCGTATTATCAAGTATACTAACCATCATAAAGCCGAATTTGAGTCCTGCAATAATATTTTTGTGTAGCTGTATCGCTGGCACAGGTTGATTGATACACATTTGTGTTTTCATCTGTAAGATAGCACAATCTTCTGTAAGAAAACGAAACTTCACCATCGAAGGAGCCGGATGAACATGACAAACAGGAAATACCTGCAAAAACAAAATCATTCAACTTAAGTTTGCACGCAATTTCATTTGTGGCCTTAAATTGTATGGGGAAAAATTTATGTGAATTAAAATATAAATGTTGTTACCATACCGTGCCCAAATGATAAATGGGAGATCTTTTTTTCTCCGCTCCAGACTACGTACAGTTCAATAAGAGAACTGATTAAAATTACGATTACTGATTACCAACATTTGATCCCGAATGAGATCCCAAAACTCATCCTTTTCAGTTAGAAGTCAGTCAAAAATTTCAGCTTTCATACACTCAAGAGTATGATTCCAACTCCAAAAGTTCATTTCACAATTCAAAAACATTCAGAAATACGAGTTTTTGTTCCGACTAGGGACGGCATTCTCTTGACTTCGAAAACATATCTGCAACATTTAGTTCAAGACCCACAGACAGCGTAAGCTAGCAGTGTGCAAACCTACCTTCGGCTTTTTCTGGTATTGTCCACAATATTAGGAAAATAAAGATCCACATTTCGCTGAATATAATTAAATATAATTATCTGGTGTTTTATGATATTATTCTACTGTACTTTTTCACAAAAAAAAATTCATTTCTTAAGAATTCGATCGCTTAGTGCAACTTGGTGGATTACTAGAACATCATTCGGAAAGACTTGTTGTTCTATTTTTAACTCCTAGCCTGACGGTCAAATCTACACCACAATTATATCAAACATTGTCTTATCTTATGAAATCTTCTTTACGATTATAATATTCTCACTAAATGATATGAAAACGAGCAAGCAAAACAATACCTACTGTCTTGTATCTCCATACTACGCAGTAGGCGGAACAAATAACATCCTGTCTTTATTTACCATACTCTTTGAACCTACTTAATTATTGTCTTTTCATCGGCCTGCGCCGGGAAACTGTTTTCCGAAACCAACCTTGCTGTGCAATTAATATTAACGATTGACTTTTATTAAGTCTCCACCTTCAACTTCATGTTGAACTCGTATTAAGCTATGCGTTTGAGTTTACAATAAAAATCATTCATATTATCTTCCAAATACTTATTTCAAGAATTATTTATGGATCTGAGTCAATGCCTCTTTCCATATTCCATTTACTGCAAAATGCAACGTTAACAACCGTTTTTTTCGTGATGGGGGCGCTAAACAAAACCCAAGAACACTTGTCTTGTAATGTACACTAATAAACAAAAAGTAGCAGTGCATTTGCATTGGATGTGATTGTTATTGTAATGAAGTAAAGTTAAACATTGTGGCAAGCCAATCGAATCCAAATCGAAAAAATGGTTCTTGACATATATAATATATATATATAAATATATATGCACTATTATTAGTAATTAGTTCAATATGTGAAAGACAAAATGAATATTTCAAAGCTCATGACAGTTTGGTAACCTTAAATCCTGCGTAAAATTAGATATCCTGAATATCTGGTCAAATATTTCGCCACCACTAAATAATTTTTGACTGATCGCGAAATATTCGCAAGTTTCTCAAGGTTCCAATTCTTGATTCTATTTTTCCTAATATTCATCAATGATCTTCCAGACAATTTTAGTTTCATGTTGTGAGACCAATTTGGTTTCGGTGCTATCGTGAGGTTTACCGCTGTATTTTCAATCCCCAATGGACATCATTTTTCTCTATACATTTTAATTTAGCGAATTAAGTTACGAATCTGATCCTAATTCTAACGCGGTAGACCTTTTACTGCCTGGCATCAGTTATCGCAATGTCGTATTACTGTGGCCTGAACCAATAAAAACAAAGTTTCGCGGATCAGTCGTCTTATAAATCGTGGTACAGTCCAGATTTTATATCAGGAGCTATCGGAATATTAACCTTTGAATGAATATTTTATATATACAGGGTCATATCATGCCATTTAGGGGCCCAAAGCACTTCCCAATATACAGAAAATTAGCTTCCATACTTCTGGTTTTAATTCCGACTGCTGTCACAAGAAGTAAAAATTTTGACATACGAGTTGGTTTCCAACCAGAGACGACATTCCCTTGACTCCAGAAACTTATCTGCTACGTTTAGTTTAAGACCCACAGCGTAAAGTAACAATAGTGACCGTGCAAACTTACCTGGCATTTTCTGGTATCGTCCACAATATTAGGAAAGTAAAGAACCACATTTTGAGGGATATATTTAAATAATTAAATATATTTATGTGGTGTTTTATTATATTAATCTACGATACTTTTTACAGAAACATTTCATTTCTTCAATAATTTGACCGCATAATGCAACTTGGTGGATTACTACTACATCATTTGGAAAGATTTGTTTTGCTATTTCTGACTGTTAATTGTGTATAGTCACCGAAATGAGGCGCAGCCCGACATTCTGCACCACAATTATATCAAACATTGCCTATCTTATGAACTCTTTTTTACGATTCCAATATTCCCACACAATGATATGAATAAGAGCAAGCAAAACAATATCTACTGTCTTGTATATCCATACTAAGCAGTAGGCGGAAGAAATAACATCTTTGAACCTACTTAATTATTTTCTTTACAGCGGCCTGCGCCGGAAAACTGTTTTCCGAAACCAACCTTGCTTTGCAATTAATAATAAAGATCGACTTTTAGTAAGTCTCCACCTTCAACTTAATGTTGAACTCGTATTGAGCTATGCGTTTGAGTTTACAATAATAAATCACTCATTTTATCCTTTAAATACTTATATCAGGAATTATTTATGGATGTTAGTTAAGACCTCTTTCTCTATACCATTTACTGCGAAATGCAACGTTATTAACCGTTTTTTTTTCGTAACAAAGTCGCTAAACAAAACACAAAAACGCTTGTGTTGTAACGTACATTAATTATTAAAACGAAGTAGTGCTTTTGCATTGGAAAAGAGCGAAAGAGAGAGAGAGTGTTTATTTGTTTTGTCCACCAGAAAACATATACACAACAAAAACATAATTAATAAAAAGCAAAACAGTTTTCGGTACAAACCGAGTGGCAACGATATGACCATGCGGTCATCGGATTCAGTTACCACCCAATATTAATATCAATAAACATGAATAAGAAATGCTTCAGATATGGTTTAACATATTTCAGGCGTGTCCAAAAACAACATTAAATTTTCCACGAAAAGAAAGAAAAAATAGTTACATATCAATATGGTATTGGTCAAATTTGGCACGAATATGTATTTTTGAGTAAATGAAGCATCAATTGTGTGGAAGTGATTGTTAATGTATTGAAGTCAACATTGTAGCAAGCCAATCGAATCCAAATCGAAAAAACAAACAAAGGGCACATGACCTGATGCGGCGGCACTGACAACTGAGCTGTTTGAATAAATACATATATGCCCTCACATTAGTAACTAGTTTGATGTGCTTATAACAGTTTGGTAACCTTAAATGTATATTTGGTCAAACATTTCGCCACCAATAAATCATTTTTAACTGATAGCAAAATATTCGCAAGTTCCTCAAAGCACCAATTCTTGGATCCTTTTTTCCCTAATATTTATCAATGATTTTCCAAACCATTTTGGTTTCATATTGTGGAATCAATTTGGTTTCGATGCTATCGTGAGGTTTACCGCTGTATTTTCAATCCCGAAAGGATATCATTTTTCAGTATACATTTAATTTGGCGCTTTATGATACGAATCTGACAATAGACAATACGTTTATTTCGTCGTGCAAGAAATCACTACATAAATTCAAAACAAGAAAAAATTTATGCATTACAGTAACGAATTTCATTGCAATTGACAGAAAGTCGCAAAGGACCAGAAATTGTCATAATAAATCTGCGACACCAAGATTTTAAACGAGTCAATATTAATAAAATTAAAAGAAAGGAATAAACACAAAAAAAAACTTAGTCATTCAAAAATTTACCAACAAGGTTGATTGATATGAATCTTCCTATTGAATTTGTGAGAGAGATTGAAAAAAATAATAGTCGTGGGAACACAGCAATTCATTTAATTTCATTCACTTCTCCATCTTTGATCTGATTTTTTTTTCATAGCAACTTTTTTTATGAGGCTTTTTATAATTTCACTCTTTCGGATTAGTTTCTATTAATTAAATCCCCATTGACTCTGCCTGAATTCCCGAATAATTTTATAATTTTTATGGGGCTTATAATTCACGCCTTTTATTATATATATATCCGCACTTCCTTGGACCAGCAGGTTCCTATTATATATATATATCCCCATTGGACTTTGCCTGAATTCCCGAATATTGTTATAATTTTTCTTTTCTTAAAAACTTTTTTTTATATTTTCTCTCTTTGGATTTGTTTGACTGAATTCCCGATAACTTTATATTTTCACTCTTTTTATATTTTCTCTCCTTTGGATTTGTTTGACTGAATTCCCGAATTAGTTTTGCTTGCTGGCCTCAATCTTCTCGCAGCTCTGAATATCCCGTTCCTTCTTCTGTTTTTTTTTTCATAAGAACTTTTTTTATGTGTCGTCCGTCTTTTTATAATTTCACTCCTCGAATTTGCTGGCCTCAATTTTCTCGCAGCTCTGGTTCCTTCTTGCTGGCTCTTCTCCTCCCTCACTCTCTGTCTCTTTCTTTCCTCCCCTTACTTTTTTATCCTTCTTTATTTCTCATTATTATTGCTTCATTATTATTCATTATTATTATATATTATTATATCATTATTATCCTCATTGCTTCTTTGGCCTCGACGTTTTTTTTTTTATATTTTTAGTTGTCGGACCCCTCAATTTGCTGGTTCTCCAACTCTGGTCTCTCAAACTCTGCCCCATTGGCCTCGATGTCCTTTCCTCGTTGCTAAATGCTTGCTCTCTCCACTCTGGCCATCGGCCTTGATGTACTTCCTCGTTATCTGTCTGTTATATGCTCTCTGTACTTTGGCCCCATTGGCACCGCTCCACGTCACCTGGTTTGCTCTGCCCCCCTCGTTACCCGGTTTGCTCTGCCTCGATTGGCATCGATCCACGTCACCTGGCTTGCTCTGCCCCCATCGGTTTCCTCGTTGCTCTTTCCACTCTGCCCATCGGCCTCGATTGCTATATATATGCTCTCTCCACTCTGGCCATCGGCCATGATGTACTTCCTCGTTATCTGTCTGCTATATGCTTTCTTAACTTTGCCACATTGGCACCGCTCCACGTCACCTGGTTTGCTCTGCCCCTCCACGTTACCCGGTTTGCTCTGCCTCGATCGGCATCGATCCACGTCACCTGGGTTGCTCTGCCCCCATCGGCCTGGATGTCCTTCCTCGTTACCTGGTTTGCTCTGCCTTGATGGTTGTCCCTCGCCGAACTGAGCCTCTTCTTGCTCCTGCTACGCTCCCTCCTTATCAGAGGCGTAGCCAGCATATTTTGCGCCCGGGGCAAAATATAAAATTGGCGCCCCGGCCCCCACGTTTAATCATGTTTTCTATTGGATTTAATTGTATATGTAAAAAAAATTATATTTCGTCACGCTAATAACCGAAATGCGTAAGTCATTTTTAGCTGTTTTGAGAAAAACGTAAAAAAACTTCCTAATGATATTGCTATGCCATTGAGAGTCTTTAATTTGCCATAGTTCAACTTTTTGATCGTAGCCGG